TGTACTGAACAAGTACAGACTTTTTTCTTTTTCTTTTTTTTTGAGACAGGGTCTTGCTATGCAGTTCAGGCTGGCCTTGAGCTCACTTTGTAGCCCGGGCTGGCCTTGAACTCTCAACGATCTTTCTGCCTCAGCCTCCTGAGTGCTGGGATTACAGGCGTGCGCCACCACGCCTGGCAGGACTTTCTTCTTTCTCTTATTACTTAACCAAATATAACAACGATTTACCTAGTACTTACCTTGCATTAGATATTACAAGTAACTTACAGATGATTTAAAATATATGAAAGGATATACACAGGTTATATGCAAATATTAAGCCATTTTATATGAGGAACTTGAGCAAAATGGATTTTGGTATTCATAGGGAGTCCTGGAACAAATTCCCTATAAGTATCTAGGGATGATTATAGTAATACATACATACGTGCATATTTTTTTTAAACCATTAAGTGATTAACTGATGATCTCAATTTTCCAAAATATGAATATGAGGGAGTACCATAAATGCAAAAGAAGACATAATGATTTTACATTCTGGTGTATTTCTGTGGATGACATTATGATAGAGTGACATTAAAGCCATTTACCACCCAGCTGGGTATGTTGGTGTATGCTTGTAATACTAGCCTCTCCAGAGGCTGAAGCAGGAGGATCACTTGAGCCCAGGAGTTCAAGACCATTCTGGACAACACAAACAAAGAAACAAGCAACTCACTAAAAAATGTACTTTTCCATTACTTTTCTGATAAAACTAAAATAAAATTTACTGCAACAGAACTTATTCTTACAGAACTAAAGGCAAACCAATGATGATCTAATCATATCCTTAATGGGACTTTTGGGGCTTTTTCTCTTCTCTGGGAAGAGACTTGCGTGACACTATATGAGAGTATAAATTACCTGTGATGGGTGATGTCTAGACTAAATATACTTGAAAGCCAAAAATTTGTAGTTCCAAACAGGATAACGGGGGTGGTAGGCTTAATGAGGTGTACTTCCAATTTTATCTCCAGATTTTAAAGGCCTAGAGTTGAACCACATACACAAGTAATTTCCTATGAAATAATCTACAACTACCTTGCTTCTGAGAGACCAGGGTGCTCCCAAAAGATGCACACAAAGAAGTGAAATTATAATGGGGCATTTATGTTCCATATATAGAAAACAGTTCACACAAAACTGGTGGAGAAGACCGAACAGGGAGAATGAAAGATTGCTCAGGCTGCAACACTGCTGATAGCATTAAACCCAGCGAATTACATGGCGGTATACGGCAAGAGCCACAGAAGCTTTTAAACCTTTGCAGAGTAATACTACTTCTCGGAATCCACCGTAAGGAACCACTACTGGAGCTACTATTACTAACTGAAGGTTCAACACTCGATGAGATATTATCTAGTCTTTTAATAAAAGGGAAAGGATACATAGAAATAACAACAAAAAGGTATGATTACAGCAGAAAGCAAACTGAATTGTACAAACCACATTGCAACTGCATTATGGAAAGAAACAAAAATGTACAATAAAAGTGACATTGGTTTGTACAGAATCAAATGTTAATCGTTCCCACAGAGACCTTGGAATTATTATAAGAGATCTATGAATCCAAGAGCACACAATATACATCTTCCCAAACAAGAAACATGAAACAGTGCAATTACTCTGAGACATTTTTTTACATTAAAAAAATGGGAATCACGTCCTAAAGCTGAGAACAAGGTAAGAATGGCTACTCTTACCCCTCCTTTCAACATGATATGGAAGACTGTGGCAACTGCAATAGGCAAGAAAAAGAAATCAAAAGCATTAAGATTAAAATGCAGGCCAGGGATATTGCTCATTGGCACAGTAACTGCCTGGCAAATGCAAGGTCCTAAGTTCAATTCCTGCTACCAAAAAAAAGATGGAAGTATACCTTTATTTGCTGGTGACATAACTGCTTGGATAGAAAAATTGAAGGAATCTTCAAACACTGAATCTAGTAAGTAAATTTAGCAAGCCTACAGAATATTGATTACTATACAAAAAGCAATTATATTTTTATATGCTAGTAAGAAACAAGCAGCCACAAAAAATTCCATTTATCATAGGGTTGAAAACCACAATACATTTAGTAAAACACATGTAAGAACTGTGCACTGAAAACTAAAGCACTGCTTAGAGAAATGAAAGAAGACCTGCATAAATGGAGAGCTAAAGTTTACAGACTAATAGGACTCAATAAATATTAAAACATTAGCTGTCCCTAAGGTTACCTACAGACTCAATAAACTCTAAATCACAATCCTTAGTTTTTTTTAAGAAAATGAAAATGGAAAAGTTGATTCTTAAATTTACAGAATAAGTGCTAGTCATCTAGAATATACAAAGCGGTCTTTAAAAAGAACAAAACTGGAAGACCTTACACTATCCAACTTCAAGACTTACCAGAGAACTACAGTAATCAAGAGAGTGCGGGACAGACAATAAGGACTAAAAAATAGACCCATGAGGGCTGGGAATGTAGCTCAGGGGTGCAGTGTTTGCCTAGTGTGGGTTCAATTCCTAGTACTATGAAAAAGAAGAAGAGTTTGAAACAGATCAATGAAACAGAACACAGAATTAGGGCCGGGGATACAGTTCAGTGGCACAAGCACCTGCCTGGCAAGCACAAGGTCCTGAGTTCGATTCCCGATACCATAAAAAAAAGTTTCAGAATACAGAATTAGAAATACATTCAGATTTATAAAACCATTTGATTTGTAACAAAGATATTAAAGCTGTAGGTAAAGCAATGTTGGTTTGTTTTATGTTTTTTATTTTTATTTTTAAATTTTTTTTTGGTACCGGGAATTGAACTCAGGACCTTGCGCTTGCCAGGCAGGCACTTATGCCACTGAGCTATCTCCCCAGCCCTGTTTTATGTTTTTGAAAGGTGTTAGAAAGAAGACTGCTCATGATGGAACAAGGAAATGAACCTGGACTCCTACTTCAAATGAGACACAAAAAGAATTTCAGATGTATCACAGACCTAACTTTAAAGGCTAAAACCATCAGGCTTTAAAAAAAAAAAACAACTGAAGAATATATCATGACCTGAGGTAGACAGAGTTGTCTTTGATAGAAAATGGAAAGCAAAAACAATCAGAGGAAAAACACTGACAAAAAACTTCAAGCTTCTGTTTACCAGAAGACACCATTAAAAAAGAGATAAGCCACAAACTGGGAGACGCTATCTCTAAACATATTTGACAGAGGACTTTGTACTCACAAGCACATTTAAAACACTGCCAAAATTTATTGTAAAAGGGCAAACAAGTCAATCAGAAAAAGTCTAAGTGATATGAACAGATATATAAAAGAAGATATACAAATGGCTAGTATATTAGAAAGTTATTAATGCCATCAAGAAAATGCAAATTAAAACTGTAGAAATATAACTATCCATACTTGGAATGGGTAAAATAAAAACAATGGATGGAAGTGTAAATTATAAAATCATACAACCAGAGTCTCTAAGAAAATGTGACATTCACCCCACGATCAGCAATTCCTTTACTAGATATTTTTCTAAGACAAAAGAAATCCGATGTCAACAGCAACACAAAACTGCAGATGAATGAATGTTCTAGCAGATTTTCTATAAAAGCCAAAAACTGAAAACAGTCAAGGTTCTATGTGATACTGAGAAATTTATATTTGGTCTTCATCATGTTTCCCGGTAAAAAGTTGTGGAAATCCTTGTAGTCTCAGGGTATGAATGTCTTTTGTATGCCAGTGAGATGATTGGTGGACTGGGGCCCCTAGATAGCTTCAAGATAGTGGCTGGTCACCTAAAAGCCAACTCTGGGATTAAAGAGTTGGAATTCTCAGCCCCATACCTCTAACTGAATTGATCACCAACAGCCAATGATATAACTGATCCTGCATCCAAAACCAAATAAACAAACAAACAAAACCCTGCAAAAATTATCCAACTGTAGTTAGTTGTGTACATGCTAAAGAATTTAGGGGCAGTACACTGACATCTGTAATTTTCTTTGAAATTGCAAAAATCAGATAAACTGACGGACAAATCAGATGGATGGATATGCGGAAAACAGGTACAGTGAAATGTTAATGATAACATTTAGATGTGGACGTACAGGAACTTACTGTAGATCGTTTTTTCAATTTTCCTGATTTTAATTTGTTCTCACAATAAAATGTTAAGAAAAAAGGGAGACCACTGTTTTGATGTCGATAAAATATTATTTTTGACTTCTTTTCCCCATTTTCTAAGTTGTCTTAATATGGAATGCCTTTGCACTTTTCAAAATATTAAAGCAAATATAAATGATTTCAAAAAAGTTCAATATCTTATTTTAGATTGTACAAAAATTAAGCTATTCAGCATTTTTAAATCTATTTCTCATATAATTCAGGAAGAACTTCACAAAACTTCGATTATATAGCAAATCACTGGTTTTGAAACAATTAAAAATTTAAAGCTAATTAAGTGTGTTATTAAAATGTTTTCTTTCTTTTAATGGCTTACATTAAACTTTCCTTCTACTGAAAAACCTCTCTGTATCATTCTGTGTTAATGTGTGCTTATTAGAAGTACAGTGCTTCTTAGACTCCCTAAGCACCCATCGGGACAGTATTAGGAAATACGAGTTGGCTGTTTACTTTCAAATGGGCTTTATCTTTCAGAAAGCACAAGCTTGTGCCAGGTGCTAGTCAATGGTATCTTGTTAATTTCCAAAACAAACAGAGGAGAGTGCCATGCAATTTCCATTACACACACTTCACCATTAGAACCTGGGTTTACTAGCTTGACACAGGTCCAGGAATAATGGTTTCATTCCTCACTGAAATAAAATAATGTGCCACATAACTCAGCAATGCGGAATTTCTAAAAAATGTTGTCATGTTAAACACGGTCATATTTTTCAGTCCCCGTTACGCCAAAACAAAGGCCGTTTGCTGTAACTTATCCTGGGCATGGAGAATTCTCACAAGGGCTTCAGAGTTACCTCATTGCTATGTCGTAGGACTCTGGATGAATACAAGTCTGGTCCAAAGGATTTGGCTTCAGTATCGCACCCACTGTGGTTTTGCTCTTCTTTTTGCCCTGCTTCTCGTTTGTGACTTCAACACCTGCTGAAGATGTCACAGCAACTCCTTGAATCTGGCTTGAAGATTCGGTTTGCTGACTGGTGCAGTCATTTAAAAGCAGGATAAAGCAAAAAAATTTTAAAATTCTTAAAAGAAGTTGGGCAGAAAAGACATATACATAGATAGCAATCACACACTTCACAGAGACAACTGTTTATTTGGTCAAAGCACTGTTAACTGGACTGCTACTTAAAGCCAAAAAATCCTTTACTGATTCAATATGTGCAACTGTCACTCTAGGAGAGAACAGAGAAAACTGGAGGAGAGGAAGAAGAGGAGGAAGAGGAAGAAGAGGAGAAGAGGAAGAAGGGGAGAAGAAGGAGAAGGAGAGAGTATGACAGGAGGCGGAGGGTACAGGGAAAGGGGGGAGAAGGGAAAGATTATTTCTGAGAGCAGATGAAAAACCCAAGTTATCAAAAGACCCTACTAAGTGCAGAATAAAACGAATGGGAAAAGACTCATAGTTAACTTACCATAGTGCACTTTAGAGTAGAAATACTTTTTTAAACCCCGAAAGGCTTTTAAGAGACTCAAACAGATCACCACAAAAGGAATCTGAATCAGACTGGTATCAGATTTCTTATTAGCAAACATCAAACGTCAGAACAATACCTCAAAATTCTGAGAGCCAATGACTTTGAATCTAGATCTTATATATGTAGCAAAAGTAGCATTAATTTAGGAAGGCAAATTTAATCTGTAACTATAGTTGTTCTCTAGAAAGAATTTAGGAATAAGTTGCAGCAGATATACAATGAATTCAAGAGAAAATTAGAATACGGACTACACAGTGACACGCACAGAAACCGTGCAAAGGTATTATGTTAAAAAACTGTTTGAAAGGGAAGTAAAAAAGGATTAAGATGCAATATGCACACATACCGTCTCCCCATTATATATCACAAATGTACTAATAAATAATAAATAAAAGACAAAATGAACAACTTGTTAATTTCTCTCTCTCACACACAGAGTCTTAAACACATACTCACATACACACACCTACATAAAAATCTAAAAATTCCAGGTCATCCCATGATATAAAGATGAACAGAGGAACGTTAAGAAGAGTCCTAAATTTCAAGTCTTCACTCAAGGGTAAAGGGCAACTGGGATGTGGGAAAAGAGAAGGGAAAGAAGGAGAAATTTTGTATGTGTGTATGTACAGGATAGTTAACATAGTTGTTCTACTGTCTTCTATTTCTTTGCTGAAAGAAACTATCAATGAGTCCTTGATTGATCAATATTGCATGTCTCTATCTGTTTTCATGAGAAACCACTTTGAAGATAGCAATATGTAATACAACAAGCATTGTTAATTTCCTACCACTTTGTTTGTAACTCTGTATTGTCTGTACTGTTCTTTTGCTATTTTGTAAAAGGTTGTCTGTCTGTTAATGTTTTCCTCCTTTTATTTTTAAAATAAAAAAAAATAAATTTCAGGTCTTATCTGTAAGGATAGAGATACTTATTAACTCCAAAGGTCAGTCAAAAGCAAAATTACAGATAATCATGAGAAGAATGGAAGATGTCCAACTTTGAAATCACCACGGAGGTTTAAGGTATGATGGGAAAACAAGGAGAAAACCTGGTAAGTGATAAATCCAACAAACAACAAAAAGAAAAAGCAGAAAGCATGACAGAGAGAAATATTTAAGAAAATTTAAGACTAAGTTCAATCAATATATACACTAAATATAAATGTATTAATATTAGATTAAGCCAAATCATAATGTCCAGCTATATGTGTAGAACAGCCATATAAAAATTAAATGTCATAGAAGGTATACAAATAAAAAATATGCAAGCATATTCTGAAAAGGCAACTACTGCAGTGTTAGCAATCAAAATAAATTTCAAAGCAAAATCATTAAATGAGAGCACAGTTCATAAAAGTATGAATTATCAAGATACAACAGTCATGAGTCTTTAAGTATCTGATTATCTAAAAAAATTAGGTTTCAAAAGAATTAGAATATTCATCAATAGGCATGAATTACATTAAATTATGGCTTAGTCATATACTTATTATGAAGACATTATAAAGAATACTAGATAAAAAGAATAAAAATCTCTATGTAATAATTTGGGGAATCAAGATAGAAGAGTCAAAGTTTCAAGTAGTTGTAAAACATAATCTCTCCTGCATGCATCTAAGAAATTAATAAATACATATACTCAAAAGATGACATAAACATATATTTACTTTCTGGACATAATATATAAGAAACTGTTTTGAAGTAGGAGACTTAGGCACTTTTTACTGTTTGAATTTTCTAACCAAGTAGTCAAAAAACACATAAACTGACTAACACAATACTGCTTTATCCTCATTTTCCCCTCCATTTTTAGCTCCTGGTTTTTGTGATCTACTTGGAAATAATTTTCACCATTCTGCTGTTCTGTAAGACTTTCTCATGTTTTCTTCTTATACTTTTACAGTTTTACTTTTTACCTTTATGTCTATGATCTATCTGAAATTAATTTTGGTACAAGGATTCAGGTGGGTCTATTACATCCTTCCCATGTATCAAATGCCTAACAACTGTCAAATACTATTTATTGAATAATTATTAATTGAAATATAATCTTTATCGGAAAGTAAATTCCAACCGTGTTTTGATGGATTTCAGACACTATTCTGGATTATTTATTTATTCTCTATCAAAACCAAACTGTTTAACTACTGTATCTGTTATTAAGCTTTGCAACGCATTGTACTATCTTGGGGGACTAGTTTTTCCTTACTTTGATCTTTTCTAGAATAAGATTACTTTTTCATATGACCACTATTATAATTTTGTCAAAACAAAACAAAAAAATATGTAAAGAATCAGGTAGTCTCAAAAGAGCAGATACACATAAGCTCTTCTTTCCCAATTATAAAATGCTAATAAGTTTATCCAATTTCTCTGCTTTTGTGTTATGAGGACATGAATGCTAAGAACTTAGTGCTTTTATCTACACAACTAATAATGAGTGCAAAGGGAAGAGCCACATCTCTATGACACGGTCACTGCTACGTCACATTTGTCACCTCATCTCATATCACTGTCCCCATTTGCCAGGCTCTAGTCACACTGCTCTCCACTGTGTCTCTCGAACACATCGCAGTTGATCCTACTGTGCAGAGTTCGTGCTGGTTTCCCCTCAGTCCCTGTGTGGCTACCCTCTTCCTCTCATACAAAATTTTGCTCGAATAACTTTAATAAATCACTCATTTAAAGCAATTGCACTGCTCCCCAAGACATTGTTACGTCTCCCTGTCTTAATTTTTACATCACTATTTACCAACTGAAATGATTTCTTCTACTAGTTTATTGTCCATCTCAAACATTAAAATATAACTCCACAAGAACAGGAAATTTGCAGACTTCACTGCTGCATTCCCACTGCCTACCAAAGAACAGACAGGCAACACACACTGAATGAAGGCAAGAACACGGGCACCTAGAATTTACGCCAGTGAGCGGACTGGCTAACAGCTAGAACAGAGGAGGATGACAGTGCTACCAGAGGCGCGCCTTTATTTACCTGCAAAATGTTCGAATATAATCTTGGTTGATTCTGATAAAGCCAGCACACTGCTGGAAGGATTTGGGACCTAACCCTTTCACTTTCTTCAGCTGTTCTCGGTTGATGAAGGGACCATTTTTCTCTCTCCATTCAATAATATTTTTGGCTCTGTTGGCATTGAGTCCCGCGATATGCCTAAAATAATAATAAAATAAAATGAGCAGGTGAAAAAGAAAGATCTCATCCACAAAGACAATGACATCACGTGGACCATAAAAATCAACAGTGATTATATGATTATCGTTACGTTAAGATAAATTTATCCAAAAAGCAGCTAAATCAAAAGGACAAAGAGAAAAGAATTGTCTATGAGAAAAGAAGGAAAACAGTACAAAACAATGACAAAACTAACCGCTGTCAAAGATGCTGGTTGACACCGATGCAAGCGGAAGGATTGTTTCTAACACTGTTTCCGCCCTACTCACCTTCCTTTCCCTTCTCAGTCAAAAGGTAATGCTGCCTATTTCCGCTTTGCTCACAAAGGGACTTAGTGAAATGTACAGCTGCTACATTTGTGTTATACTAACCTTTCTGTCTGCTCGTTTTCATTAATGTAGAGAGTTGAACTACAGATAGGCATGTATGCATGAATGTCAAGGTTAGAATAAAACTATGAAAAATTATCATTGGCTGGGTGTTAATTAAGTGATTATTATTTCATAGACCCTTCAGTCTACTATGAATTTAAGGGTTCATAAGTAGACTTGTGTTTACTATTCCATACTTGGAATAATGAAATGTTTATAGCTACGACCGAAAAGCAAACCTTATTTTCCACTATACCAGTTTTAGTGAAAAAGATCCAGATCAGGGAATTTCATGTTGCATCAGTAGGCTTGTGTAATAAAGGCAAAATTACGAACATAGAAAAAGCAGCTTTTCTATAACTACAGGGAAAAAAAGACAAAGTACTGTATATAAGGTGCAGTTGTATGATGGAAATTTTGATAGGCAACTTGTAAAATCACAGTAAAAATGTGGTAACCATACCTTGGACTTTCAGAATTTATATTTTGGTTATAGCCAGCTTTGACAGACGCATGCAAGACACCGGACTCGTGAAAAACACCTACTCTCATGTGGTGGGAAACAGCTCTTTTCCATGTTAACCTTATTTAAATTCTATTAGCAACACTAATATAACTCAATGGTTACCATACGCTCTTCACTTTAGATTTGGAATATTAAAAATGATAACGTGGATTGTTACAGTTCTTTACTTAAATGATGTCTCCCTTTCCAAATGATTGTCTAAAGCAATATATAAACCCACAGATTTTCTACACTTGACAACTTTACACACATGTCCTCGTGTTCTGGAGGGTTTGAACTAGACAGCCAGTTACTCAAGATTCTGTGATCTTCAGCCACAAATTTCTTGTCTCACCTTAACAAAACTTCTGAACAGATGTTAATATCGACTCCCACAAAGCTGACGCATTCTTCTACAACACTGTCCAGCGTAGCCTTGAGTAAAGTCTGGGATACATCATGCTGAAAAGACACAGATCAAGTACTAAACCACAGTGAAGGAGATGCAGTTTTTGGATTCTTCCATTATTCTTCCTACACTACCAGTTGGCTAACACACACCACGGTAAATTTCTTCATTTCTCTTAAACACACTGTAGCATATGTAACTGAGCTGAACTTAAGGAGTCTGTGTTTTCTTAAACTCGAGCCTACTCTTACACTAACTTGAAAATAATACCAACAGTAGTTTCCGCTTGTGTGAAATTCTGCCTGGAGTAGCAATTCTTAAACTTTAGTTTGCATTAAAATCACCTTTAAGGATTGTTAAAACACGTCCAAAGTTTTGATTCAATATGTCTGGGGAAGAGCCTGAGAATGTACACTCTAACAAGTCCCCACGTAATATTATGGCACGGCACCATGCTTTAAGACCTACTGGTTTCTATTATTCATGCATTGCCTTGTAGTGTTATCACCACATCAGATGTTCTTAAGAAAACACCAAGTTATAACAGGAAGCAGTACAATAATAGTAAGGTGCATAAGAAATCAAACTATCATGCTTAATCAAATTGAAGATAATGCTGCTTATATAAAGCTCAATTATTTTATATACCACTAAGAAAATATGCTGTCAAACCACCTCATAATGCTTTATTGCTTAGAAATTTTATGAAATTTTAATACTGAAAGAACCTTTATAGACCTATTTAGAAAACTTTGAAACCATATATCACACGTAATAGTTATATATCATGCATAATAGTTATAAGCAATCTAAGCTGGTTTTCAAACTGAGGATTGGATCAATTACTGGGTTATAAAATTAGTTTAGTAACTTGCCATCAGCATAAAAGATCAAGAAAGAAACAGGATGGATCACATAGAGTATATTTCACATATCCTTAATATGGAATGAGCAGCACAACAAGTCATATAGACAACTGAGACTATCACGTGAGAAGAAGAAAACAAATTAGCTGCGAATAGACATATGCTTCAAGGGCATCTCATCTGATATTCTGAAACATTACAGCGTACTGAATCACTGACTGATGGAGAAGTTTAAAGAGTTATGAAGCAAAGTATGTGAGAACATGTATTGGATACCTACTGATTTGAACGAGTTTAGTTATAAACTGTATTTCAGAAAGGAGGTTCCTGATTATAGTATTTTTCAAATTCTCAGCAACTGTAATATGTTAACTTAGTCAGTACAAGTCACCTTTACAATGAGTCATTTTAAGCTTAGAAGAAAAAAGAATAATGCAGTAGACCCTTGAAAGTAAGCTCAGCTACCAGATTTAGGTTAACAGAAGGGCTAATAGAGACAGAAGTCAGAGAAAAAAAATCTGCCTCTTAGTAATCTTGGATACAACTTAAGACATTTTAAACAGAAAGGAGTAATTCTAAGACTTTAGTTTCTGTATTTTATTTATTTATTTATTTATTTTGGTTTTTTTTCTCTGGTACCAGGAACCGAACTCACGACCTTGCGCTTGCCAGGCAGGCGCTTTTGCCGCTGAGCTAAATCCCCAGCCCCAGTTTCTGTATTTTAAAGAGAATTAAAAAATAAAAATATTAGAAATGATACAGAATTTCACTAAACAAGATGACAGGAATAATTCAACAATGGTTATTATACTGGATATTGTCGTCATCAAATTAGTTGTTCAGATTACCAGATATAAGTATGTAAAATGGGTCAAAAAAATTAAAAAGAACAAAAAAATTTAAGCACTGACTGTTTCTTCTAATAGACCAGTAGAAAACAGTAGCACAACTATCCCAGCTATCCTTATATACACATATATATTTTTTCCCTTCCTTCTTTCTTTCTTTTCTCCTTCCCCTGTTGTTCCTTCTCTTTGGGCAGTTTTTTTCCCTTTCACAGTATCTATTGTACCTTTTGGATTTTATTTACTCTTCCAGGTTCTTACACTAGAGAGATAATATGATGTTTACACATGCAGGTCTCATTTATTTCACTTATGAGTATAGTCTCTAGTTGTATCTATTCACTTATAAAAGCCTCAAGTTTATCTTTTTACAGCTAAGTAATACTCCAATGTATAAAAATACCTCATCTTTTTTATCCATTCCTCAGTTGATGGGCACTTGGGTTATTTCCAAGATTTAGCTGTGACAAATTGCGCTGCTATAAACATGGGTGCACTAAGACTTCAAAAAGAACTTCATTTTCTAAAAAATTTTACAAATACCAAAAATTTACTAAAAATGACAGATCCCAGAAGTTTGCTGGTAATGATGTTCTTGTAGATAACAGCTTAACACCTTCAAAATTAAACAGCAGAAAAAGAATGACAGCAGCAAAATATAACTTCTCTGGGACTTTCAATTGAGACACTTGGAAAACAACAACTTAGTGAAGGAAACATGAACTAAATCTCCAGGAATCAAGGAAGAGCCAAGAGGAATGCATATTCTCGGACTTCCCATCCTTAGATCCGAAAGGAACGGACATGACGAAAAGCCAATTCACTGGATGGCAGCTGGCACATAATGAGAGACTTTCGTGACATTTGGGGTTCTGGATTAACCAGTTCTAGAGTAGTTCCTCTACAGTAGTTCCTTGAAAGTAAGAGTAGTTCCTCTTGAGTAGTTTTTGCAGTGACACTTCCTCACTATTCAAAAAAGAGGCACAGGTACCCTTATTGCTCGAGACAATGACTTGGGATCTCTGATACTTTTCTAATTGGAACATTTTCTCTAGTAGGAAGACAAAAGCAATAAAAACAATAACCCTCGTTACCAAAAGCCCTTGAAATTTTACTGTCAACCTTACTAGCAGGCTTTGTAATAACCATTTAGTTGAATCTGCATAACACTTTATATATATGAACACTGTACATATTTATATGATATATATATGATTTTATATCTTCATATATAATTAATTTTAAGGAATTAATTTTAAGATATATGTGTGTGCATGTAAACTAAAAATTCACCCAGAGGGGACTCAGACAAATGAGTAATAGAACTGCCATACTCCGAGGCACTAGGAGGCCGTTCATTGCAGAGCAGAGCAGCTATTTCACCGTCCTTGGCCTGGAAAAAGGTCTAGACAACATAGTGAGTTAAAAGTTAATTCTTCTAGCAGCTACTTACGGAAGAGAAATTTCCACAAGCACTGTTGACTATCACCATAGATTTCACTTCCATTCTTCCCTGATTCTTCATCCAGAATAGTACTAATGAGTTAACACTATTTTCTAAAAGCAAAAATCTTACATATCTGTGGAAGGATATATTTTTTAAAGTTCTACACTGTGCTGAAAATAATGTCTTTAACATTGCAGCACAAGCATTCACTTGGCCATTTTAGAAACATTTTCTAAGCAACTATTGTATAGCACACACTGCAAAAGTTGTGCTAGGTGTTGAGAGTATAGGAAAAATCCTACGGATTCCAGTCTTTAAGAAGCTTCATTTAGATTTGCTGAAAGCTGAGATGTGACACACTGCCCTACCAGCAGTCACCGGTACAAGGAGAGAGCGGCCCCCGGGACAGACTGGGCTAATATAATCCCCGAGGATTTAATGCCAGGAAAAAAAGACTGTTTCATTTTTTAAAAGAAGTTAACCAAACTCTCAATTGTGGGGCAAATTATTTGAACTGTATAAACAGTTTCTAGAACTCAAGGACATACTATTTGGGTGATAACAGTTTTAAATAAAACTTATGAGATTTTTAAAAGGAAATATAAGTGGTCATTTACAGCACTCAGCTTTTTTGAGCTCAGAATCCACATTTTGTATTATTATTCTACCACAAACTTGTGAAGAATTGCTCACCAAACTGCTGTTTTATTTTGTTCTGTGGCACTAAAATTATCTTGCAATTATTACTGAAAAAGAAAGTCCCTCCAGATGCAACACTGTCTGTGGCCTACAGCTTCTACAACAACACAAAATTTCACTAGAGAGATTCCATATTAAACTTAGCTTTATTCCCCAGTGTTTTTGGTGCAAATACTCTTGAGTTATATTATTTTACTTAGCATTATCACTCACGTTCCCTTGTGTCCCTTCCTGTTGCCAAAATACAAAATGTAGCTTGTAGTGGACTGACAACTGGTGGTCAGCTTGTAACATCCAGCTGAACTGAACCAGCGTGGTGTTGGGAGTGGGAGGCCCACCTGAGATTGCTGCCAGCAGCATAAGAGGCAGAACTGGAGAAGAAAAGAAGCCGCTGGAAGCTGTTAGGGAGTTGCTGGTTACCCTGGAGGAGCTTGTCATGCTGGCTTTCCTGACTGTTCTCACCACTGAAGGAGCTCAGGACCTTGTTGTCAAGGAGAATACAGTTCACTTTGGACTTGCAGCATCGCTTCCTGGCTCCAGAGGGGAAGATGGTGCACTGCTCAGCCTCCTGGAGAAGCTTGTCAAGTTGGTTTCCCTGATGGGAGCTCCGATGTTCTCATCATTGGAGGAGCTCAGGACCTCACTGTCAACGAGGATGGCTGTGGTACTTTTCAAGGAAGCCCTGGTTCTTACTTTGAGCATCGCTTCCTGGCTCCAGTGCAGATCCCTCAGCCTGCTGGCACAGATCCTTCATCCCACTGGCATAGACTTTCTAGCTTCCACCACTGACCTTTGGGCCTTCATAGCACAGATCCTTGAAACAGGCCTGTGTGAGACGTTGTGGGCTCTTGGCCTCCAGTTGGACATGTGGGGGCCCTTGTTACGGGCTCTAGGTCTTCAGATGGACTCATGCAGGACATTGCTGGGATCCAGTGCCTGGATCCAGACCAAAGATCCAGCTGGATCCTTTTGGTCTTAGTGTGTGGACAGATTTCCTGCACTCTCTTTGTATATGACTCTTTGGGTGACTATTATAAAAGAATCTTATAAATTATGCATCTTATATTGTATTAATGCCCTTGTAAACCCCAAATGACAGCACAGCTCAACACTAAAGATGCGAAAGAGCTTTACATGAAATATCTACCCAATTTGAAATAAAAGCAAGTTTATTTCCTCATTTTGCATCTATTTTT